TCTCGTTGCGTCACACCTCAACCCATCTCAAAGCGAACGCTGATTGGGCGTTCGTTTGGTGAATGGTTCCAAATTTTCTTCAACGGAGAGTCTCCAGACTGATTAGCGAGTGAAATCTTGAAAGCTCGCGAGATCAGGATGGTCTCACGAGGCTAGTTTTATACAGGATAAATGTAAAAAAAAAAAAGAAAAAAGATTTTCTGGTAATTCTTGAAGAAAACAAATGCTCTGCTGACAGTGGAACTCGAGGACCAGAGTTTCCTGCCCCAGTGATAAATCAGCACAAAGAAGCACATTTTAGTGAAGTGGAAAGAAAGTCAGACTGTTATGGTTCTTCCCCTTTGGACTTTGAATTTTTAGTTTTCAGTTATCTTAGTAATTCTCTTTTTTTTCCGTTCTTTGTTGTTTTTTTTAATGTTGTGTTATATTTAAGCAGCCTTTAGCTGTTCTCTGTTGCCCCCTTGTGCCTGTCCCCTTTCCCCTAGCTCTCTTCTAGTCACTTGCATCCACACTTGCCCCATATCAGCTGATTAACCCAGTCTTTGTTCTGTCTCCCATTTATACTTTCCCTGTGCAGCTCTTTAGTGCTGGTTCCTTCTTGTTACTTGGCTCCCCCTGCGTGTTTTCTCCTAATGTCTCTAATGCCTGGTTTTTGGGTTGGATTTCTGGATTTTGTTTTTGTTGCTGATTACTTCATTAAACCTACAAGAACTCATCTCTGCCTGCGGGTCTTCAACAAACCTCCACCCTCACGACACAGACATGGCTTTTTTTTTTTAACTAGAAAGCAAAAGCAGTTGGTGAAAACTGAACTTTTTTGTCCTTTCACAAAGCATAATGCAATGGGGAAGACATGCGCTTATCTGGAAGACCGATTAAATATTATGAAGCACTTTAAAGGTGGTTCACAGACACACAAAACCTGCAAATATTTTGCAAGTTTCGCCTGTATTTGCTTGCCTTGAAATTTGCCAGGCCAGTTAAAGCATTTTATAAGGGAGGTTAATTTCTTCTAGGATGTAAAAGGCTCCTATATCATGGAGTCTGCTATTCACCCCAACATGGCGGACATGGAATTACAAAGGGGGTGGCAGTGCTTTTTTTTTTTTACTTTTGAAAGGTGAAAAAT